TTCTAAACTACAACTAACAAAGTAAACATAAAAATTGACAATAACAAGATTACAAACTAATAAGATTGGACAATAACAAACTTAGAATTATTCAGGATTATGTTATCATATATACCATCAGACGCAGACTTACGCGTACCCACACGTATCGACACAACTTAGTAGATTACAATATGGACAAAGAGGACGAGAAAGACCGTCGCATTCCCGCGTTTTTCAATCGTGCGTGCTTTAACGCCTTTTTGTAACAATTGTCTATATTATCATTGCAAAATGGCTAGCAGACTTCACAATCATATATAAATTTTAACCGTATCTTTAGAAAATAAATTGATGGAATAAAAAAAGAAATAACATGAAGCATACTCGCAAAAACAAATAATAATAAATCACTCACGATGGCGCGCACTGGCTTTCCCGCTCTAAATAGCACATACGCGAAACGTCCGCGAAAGAACATATGTTATTATGAACATATTCTGTATCAACTCCGGTCCGCTATATCAGGGTGCAGGAGTCTTTTTTTTTTTTATTGACAAGATATTTTCAAGAAATATACTATATATTCGATACAATACTACAGCGCTGGAATGGAATGGTAAAATTTAAAACAAAAACATTTTAAATAAGGTTAAATGTATTTTATTAAAATTAAAATTAGATTCAAAAATAAGTAGAATAGTTATTATTTCGTGAATACAATTAAATGCACAGGAACACAGTGAAATGATCACTGTGTTCCTTTTTTTTTTTTTGATATGCACACAGATTATTAAGTGATTATTCTTATCTCTATATAAGCAAAGATAGAACTAAATTCAATATCCATTTTATGTTTTTAAAATAAGTTACGTATTATAGTCACATTCTTGATTATCATATTTTATAATATATTATTTTTAGACTAACAAACACAAATACATATAAAATACACATTGAATAAATGTATGGTGATATTATATTTTTTAATAATAAAAATGTTTACCTCTTTTGTTTTGTTTTTTTTCAACGTGGTATATTTAGCAAAATATATCAAGTAAATAGTCACTAAAAATGCCAGGTAAAAAAAAACAAAACCTGTATTTTTATATGTGAATACCTATGTCGCCTTTCAGATCAAATTGACCGAAATCAGTTTATTAAATCAAGGGGGATAATCTATCGGGCATGAATCCATAAAAATGATCAGGGAGTCGGAGCATGATTATGTAAAACAGTCAACGGTCAGCCTGGTACAACGTTGTGAAGATTAGCACAAAAAAGACTTACTGCATGAAATTGAAATTCCTGTATTCAATTCTCCCAGTAAATTCTAATAAAATAAAGTTAGATGGTCGGAAACGCGCACGTGACACCCCTGTTGTCTCTGGCGTACATAGACTACGGTGACCGTTTACCATCAGATGTGCCGTATGCTCGTTTGTCAATATCGTATTATTAAAAACAACGCCATCCAAGTGTCTTATAAAAAGGGTGCTGTATCAACAACAGCTTTGCAATATAGATTAGGTTTTCTCTGTACACTTACTACAACCCTTAACTGCGCTTAGTTTGAGGCATTTTCTAAAGTAATTTACTGCGAATTGTATTTGAAGTTTTTTTTTAAAACGCCATCTAGTTCTAAGTTAAACAGAGCACGTACTATTCGTACTAGACAGACAGACCTACAAATATATTCTTTTCTAGTATATTTTTAAATATACTAGAAAAATATTTATTTAAAACCTAATATTAATTTTTTTGAAAAATTATTATAACATACATAGAAAACCTTAAGACCAATATAAGTATACAGAGTAAACCGGCCAACTAAGTTATAGACCACCGAAATCTATAAACACCGGTACGACTTATTTATTTTAGGAAGATTAACGGTGTAATTTTACATGTCCTATTAAATTGTCCTATGCCAATTAATAATCTTCACCAATAGTCTCGACTCCCTTTGCTCAGATACTTTCCTTTAATACATATAATATAATTTATGGCATTATATTTATTTCAACAGCAGTCTCATTAATATAATTTTAAAATCAAAATTTCATATACTAGAATTAGAAATGGTTTACCATTAGCGTCTCGCGCTTATACCAGAGACTATAAAAATAGACTAATCAATTTTTAGTAAGCATACATTATTATTATGTATATAAAAGAAACGTACATATATCTAATATATAGTATACATATATTACTATAAACATATACGCATGACATATAGAAGCAATGTAAACATTTACTATAAATACTAATGAAACTTGAATGTTAGTTACATTTTAGTATCCGACGCAGAGGAATGTAATAAGTTTGTTGTATCTGTGGTTTAAAAGCTGTTGATAGAGTTGGTTCAACCTCACAATATAGTAGAGAACTCTTTAGGTTGACGGTTACTTAAAACTATTAATTTTAATTATTATCAAAATTTGAAATATCGTTCAAATCATGACAACTCTTGTTTATTGGATTAAGTATTTTTTTATATGTTTGCCCGAACTGATCCATCATGATGTCGAGTATGACGTGTTAATATTTATAGTAGTAAATATATATAAAAAATATTAATAGTCTCTGATATGGCATAAATTTAGTGTTAACTATAACTAGGTTAGTGTTCAGACCTTATTTGGAGCTTAAACGCGATGTTATAACGATAGAATTCTGCAATACACGTCGAGATTCAAGAAAGTAGATCGTAGATCTAAGACTAGATTGTTTGTGAATCAAGTAACTCACAATGTATTTCTCGCTGAGAGCAGACAGACAGATTTTATAATCACATTACACAATGATGATGTCCTCCTTGTCGTATATCCGACGACACTAATGTTTACTTTCATGCACTCTTATGTGACTAGCGGTACCAAGTTTATTCAAGTTAGACTCGGTCGCATTGAGTACAGTAAAGTTGGTCGGAATCATACATTACACAAAACCTGTGTACAGAATATTAAGGAGTGGTATACCTACTGCTTGAAGGTACTCATAGGGTGGTTTTAAATATTAGTTGTTGTACATATTAGTACAAATGTAAACAACCGTAAGATAAAGTAGAGTAGAGTATTTACCATGACATTATTTTTGAGCTCCCGATATTTCAAAGCTGTTACAAGGTTCCTGGTCTCTGCAGTCGACCCGTGACCAGGAACACAATTATGTAAACGTTATTACCGTTTCTCGATTGTAATGGACCAAAATCTACAATCTAGCAGGTATGTACGGACCATTTCGACCTTATGAATAATATTATCGAAGGAAAAATAGAAGAGAAGAGGGGAAGAGGGAGATATAGACACAGCTATATTAAGCAGATCAAGGAAAAAGTTGGAGCTCTTGCCATTTTCCATCAATCTCTTTAGTTGTTAATACGACCCAACTCCAACTTTTCCTTGATCTGCTTAATAAAGCTGTGTCTAGATCTTCCTCTTCCCCTCTTCTCTTCTATTTTTCCTTAGATAATATTATTCATAGGTTCGAAATGGTCCGTATATAACTGCTAAATTGTAGATTTACTAAAGTTTTAAGCCAGTTTGTATAAAAATATAAATGCTCACCTCTACTCTGGTAACAAAAGCATTGAAATGAAGTTCTACCCGCTGCTCCCCCGTTCTCTACCAACCCATATATTTACTTAGCTTGAAGGAGCTTTACTTCTTCAAGCTAAGTAAATATAAACTATTAATATACTGCTAGTATATATAATTATTATAACTAATAGTACAATGAGATTCAGGTGTTTAAGGAGTCTATATGCCTAAACTTATGCCGTACTCATGCATTCATTCACTCGCTTTTAAACGTACAAACACACTGACAGCGTCTACTTTACGTGACCAGTTCTTATAACTCCGTACATTTTAGTGCGGCGCGCGTGTCAGTCGACATTTTGTGGCATACAGTGAATGTCTGAGAAATGTTGCTCTTCTATTTATTATGATTTATTACTCGCACTCTCCAGTTGAATCGATTTAAAGACGTTTTTGAATTTAAGTGTATCGTCCGTATGTAAATAAATACATGAATATATTTAGGTAAATGTAATTTTTAATCCTGAATTTCTTCAACGGCACTAAATATAACACAACTATAAAATCAATTCAAAAAAATATGGAATGTTTATTTCTAACGGAACTTAAAGGCGCGGAATTCCGATGCACTAAAGCTGTGCACTATGCACTATACATGTTAGCTACAACTAGTCGACTGACTTCAGTTTTAGTAACTAGTTCTATTACACAAATAGAAATATCAAAACGTCTTTAAATTGATTTGCCTGTACATTACGCGCTGAGTTTAATTCGTTTGGTCGGAGTCTGTAACATTTTTTAAGGTATAATATTAATACAAACTATACATTACACACTACCAATATAAATGACATTTTCGAAAGAGATTGTTATTTTTGTGCATTTGATTTGTAACATTACAATAAATAGAAAAAGCAACAAGGTATAAACAGTTTCAGCCATCTAATTTTATCAGTTTGTATATTATATAAGCTGAAACAGTTGATATAAGCTATGCTATGTTTACTAACAATTTTATAATTAGTTAAATATTTATTTACAATTACAAAAACAAACCACTAATAAATTTTCAGTGAAAATTTCAGGAGAGAAATTATAAATAAGTGAGAGAAAATTCTATACTAATAACTAAACTAATAAATAAAAGAGAGCGTTATTAATACATACGATAATATTATAATCTTTTTGGTTTGGTAACAAGTCTTTCAAATATTTTTTTAATAAATAATAGCTTATTACGTAAATGTTTCTCTGGTTTTTATTAATTTTATGTAATTTTTTTTCGTGTTTTGTTAGACAGCCGGAAAGAACTGACATAAAGTAAACGATCAATGATTGTATACCACAGGGCTGTGTCATCTTCCATACTTTTCCATCTGCAAACACATCGATCATAGAGGCTCTTTGGTTTTCCCTCAGACTGCACATGTCCTATACGCTCGTAATAGGCATGTCTATATCTCCTTCTTATACTCCCGTAACTGAATCCTACAATTTTCGTATTACAAATCTGTTTGGCTATGCTTCCAACAGATTCTCTTTTCACGTGCCCGAACCAACGTAGTACGAACTTCATCTTTACCCCCACAATTTCTTTCAAATCAATTTGTTGGCGTATGACTATAAAACGACTTCTGCCTGTCTGCCTGACTCCACGAATTCTCAGCACTCGCCTTAAGAATGCATTCAATCTACTTTCATTGTATGTAAAGTGTTTGATGTGTATACAAAGAAACTCAGGTGTGCGGTGTTTTGCAGAAACGTGAAAGCGTAAATATAACAAGTGCGTCACAATAAGCCAATTATTAAATGAAAATTGCTGTTGAAATTGTAATAGTGCTCGGTTTACACGTGGGGACCGCGGCCGGCATTTCAAGCCAGCTGGCGTATCGTATGAGTATTCACATACAAAAATACAGAGGCACTTATTCATAAAAAGGATTACTTTCAGACAGTTGTAAGAAAACCTCTTCGAGTGTCGTTTCGGTGACAGTGTAGTCCTCGATGATACTGTGCTGGCTTTTTAAAGCCTCCAGTTCAGTAAACAGCTCGCTATACCGTGTCGTGTTTATAATGCGGCAGCGTAACATTGTCTGTGGGTAAATAAAATAATTTAGTACAATAAATAATAAATATACCTTTTGCAATATGTAGTAAATACATAAAATGTTTGTAGAAATTGTATGTATTGTATATTGGACTCTGTTTTCCGCATTTAGCCTCTCATTTGGGCCGTTATGCGTGTTGAGCCGAGACTAGAGAGTAGCCAGCCAAGCTCCGCCCATGTTTATTATTTATGTTCTAAATACTCTTAAAGTTTTAGAAAGTAATACTAAAATTAAATCAGTATGTATTTACAGACATAGTGCGATATACATATTTCTGATATGAATAGAATACAATAGAAAATTATTTATTCAAATAAACTTACATTGAAGCACTTTTATATAATAAAGTCTACTCTAATAAAGAATAGTCAGTCACTTTTTGTTTAATCTACCGCTCATTCTGAAAGCTGTCCCATCTCAAGAAGAACGAGCAAGAAACTTGCGTGTTGCTCTTTTAAATAATTTTATTGTTACTTTACATTTTTAAGTTGATTTTTTAGAAAGGATAAGGTAGGGCATGGCTGAAATAAGGTTGGGTAGCACTAGCCTAAAACGACCACAGACTTCATCGAATTCGAATCGACAGTAGAATATGTATGCTGCCTAGTGAAGCGGTCAAGAGAATTAACGTGCATTCATGAGACGAGATATAAAGCATGAATTGTGGGTGAGAATAGAATCTAAAGCACAGGCTCCTGCTGTCCTGTATGTGATGTAGTTATAAGATACATTCATGTGTAGATTGTAAACAATAGTATTATTATGTCATCAGGCATTAAATCCGTCGTGTATACAATTTTGTGTGCAAAAGAATAAATAAAAATTATACCATATGTTCATCCTTAATGTCCATGTTGAATGAATTTCTTAAATTTTCCTTCAAATGTCTCACACTATTTCCATCTGTCTCTGTAATATAAAAATTATAAACGTTTACGAATGATGTATACAAAAGGAGCACCACATTACTGGATGTGGTAAACTTAAAGTGACAAATAACGAAAGCAGTTAAATCTGATGAAAGTTAATTGCTTGGTCGCAGGTAGATAAACAGAAAAGAAAATATTTTTTAAGTAGGTATTTATTTTATTATATATTTTTGATATGATATCGATAAAAAATGAAATTTATTTTCTTTGCTTTATCGCTGGAGTTTTATTCTTTGGAAATGTATACCATAATAATAATCACATATTTTTAAGAATATTATTGGGTATAATTATTATGATTTTTTTAACTTTTAATTATGTCAACGAGTATATTAATCGTACCCCCCTACACGAGTTTCTAAATATATACCATATAAATACTAATTCAATGCTACCCATCACTCACAACCTGCTACAAAACACGGAACATAATTAAGCAACGGTTCGTGAAAAAATGTGTTGTAATGGTGTGTGTAAAAAAAGCAGTGACTTTCGGAATATCGGAATGTTACTAGTATTATAAACGAGGAAGTTCGTTGTGAATTTTTTTTATACCACGATGGTGGAGAACAAGCTTATAGCCCATCTAAGGGACAGCAATGCGCATATAATACACCTGGTTTTTCAGGCGTCCATAAGCTATGGTAACCGTTTTCCAACAGATGGGCTATAAGTTACCATTTTTTTTTGTTTGTGATATTTCGAGCTTCGACGATAAACCCCGACCTTTAAAATTTCAAATTCTTCATCTTTGCAATACAGGTAGCAAAGATCCTGGAATAAATAACACGTTTTAGTGACTTATGGAATTACGCGTACGAATCTTATATATTATTATTACATTTTGAATGTTATTGAAAGATTACATAAATAATTAATTTTCCTATTCCAGAAATTCATTTATATTATAATAGTTCTTTTACAATAAATATTGTATAAAATACTTAATATTTTACTTACCATTTCGCTCGGTATATTTGAATTCAACGTGTGAGGGGACAAACCATTGCTTAATTATGTTCCGTGTTTTGTAGCAGGTTGTGACAGATAGGTAGCATTGAATTAGTGTTTATATGTATATATTTAGAAACTCGTGTAGGGGGGTACGATTAATATACTCGTTTCACATAATTAAAAGTTAAAAAAAAAACATAATAATTATACTCAATAATATTCTTAAAAATATATGATTATTATATATTTCATGCTATCCAAAGTCACAATTCTGTGGGCACAGCGCAATATGGTATATAGGTGTAATAGTGTTACCGTCGGATGGCGCGTGCGTGGGCGGGTCGGTCGCGAGTGCGGGCGGTGGCAGCTCGCAGGCGGGCAGGTCGGTCGCGAGTGCGGGCGGCTGCAACTTGAACGTGATCGTGTGTCCCTTCGTATAACTGGCGCGCAGCCCGCCCGGCGTGTCCAGCGCCTTTAATTCGCCTTTCACCATTATCGCAATCCGGTCGCACAGCGACTCCATCTCGTCCATACTGCGGGTGATGAATATACAGGGTGTAAGGGGCAGGTTGGCCAAAACAAAAACACCTGGTTCAGATGAATGGTTTGAATCAGACAGGTAAAGTATTTTCCCACCGAAAATGCACCACAGCCATATAATTAATGATTCTTAGTTTTGACTTGGGATTGTAAAGGCACGTGTACACACACCTCCTTAGAGTATAACATGTATCAAATTGACAGTGTTAGGGTACAATATACATGTAAACTGATAGTTCACCTCGCTATGTAACTAAAGTTTATGTACTATTATGCATAAGTCATATGCGAGGTCCATTTGACTCTAAGGTAAGTGCAGGAGTACCGGTAGGTGTAGAGGTACGGATAGGTGTAAGAGCATCGATAGGTGTATTTGTTGGAGCGCTCGCGCTATGCACGGATCGGCTGTAGGGGCGCCGGTAGGTGTATCTGTACAGGGATAGATGTAATGCGCCGGTAGGTAGGGGTACCTGTAGGGGCGTGTGTGTGCGTGTGTGTGCGTGTGTGTCCGTGTACCTGTGCGAGGTGAGCACGAGCGCGAGCCGCCGGCGATGGCGCTGCGCGGCGAGGCGGCGCAGCGCGCGGTGCAGGCGGCGGCGCGCGGCGGGGTCGACGCCGGCGGTGGGCTCGTCGAGCAGCACGAGCGGCGCGTCCGAGCCCAGCGCGGCCGCCGCGCTCAGCCGCCGCAGGCAGCCGCCGCTGTACGTCGACACCGCGCGGTCCGCGTACCTCTCCAGCCCTGCGTCGTACACCGTATTCTTTACTCTGACATACGTACGAGTGATATTGTAATTGATATAAAAAATAAATATAAACGGTTCGTGCGGTCACGGCGCCGATGACGGCGATCCGCCGCGGCAGCGCCGATACCGCACCCTTCGGCCGGTAGTCCTTTTTCAGGAAGGTGATCGGCATGTCGGCCCCGACTCGAGTCACGTACGCCTCGAAACTCAATATTGTACCGTCGGACCCGGCGGCGTAGCGCACTACGCACCCGATAGCGTCAGGACGGGTGTGACGCACACGAATATTCCACAGACGTCGCGCTAATATTACGCGCTCCCTACTTCGCCAAACCGTACCCCTTTGAACCTAGATCGGTATTTTTGTTACAAAACAACGCTGTAACGCCACAAACGTTGCACTGCTGAACTACATATATATATACATACCTATATATACTATATATACATACTGTTGGCGAGTGAGCACCTACAGTGTACGACGACGGCTGCGGGACTTTGACCTTTCACACATATTAAGCGGAGCGCGTTTATTCTTAAAAAGTATTGCGTGATTAAGTCTATGGCAACCTTTATCACCAACTATTCCTCGAGGACATGACTGGTCGGATTTTTTTAGTAGTAAACGAAAAATAATTACTAAATTGCCCTATTAGGACCTTACATATGGTCCTGCTCGAGGGACTATATGTTATTTTTATTGTTTAACTTTATATTTACGAACAATTTGTTTTGTTACTAGAATCAATAGAGATACATTAATTAAAGATTTTATCATAAATAAGAATTTATTTTCCCGGATAAATACTTAAAATATTTTTTTGCCATAGTCGTAATGAAAAACTTATGTGATATGTAAAAATAATAAATGTGAATGCACATATAACTCGGTTCTATATAGTAGTGAGTAGTTAATATTATTATAACTAGTGATCAAACATTGTATTTTTACTAAGATTGTACATACCAACAATTTTAATCCACTCATTGGATATTTGTTTCACATCCTCATCGTCGTATCCTCGTAGAGTAAACAGCAACTCCATGTTTTCTCGACCGGTAAGGAACTGGTCCAGTCCAAAAAATTGTGGACAATAGCTGAGTTGTTGTAGTGACTGTAATATGACCGGCAATTGAGAAATTTATATTTATTATAATATATAATAATATAAGCTGTATTTCGGCTGTAGGGTGCGATTAGACAGTGAAATTACAAGATAAGAGATATGACATCTCAGTACTGGAATGGTAACGCACGAGCAAATCTAAGTAGGTCGTAGTGCTACGGGTCTAAGCACCTGACAATAGCCCAAACCCTTCGAAACTTAAAAAATAATATAGCTAAACATAAGAATAGGATAATAGAATTAATGACCTGAGTTTTCCAGGGGGCGAGCCAATTGCTTTTTACCCGGGCTTTACCCTTGGTTAAGCATTGCTCGGCTGTCAGCATTTTGAACGTAGTCGACTTTCCTGCACCGTTGACGCCTAAGAGGCCGAAGCTCTCGCCTGTCAAAATATTTGTCAAATTAAAATGGCTGTACTTCATTGATGTTCACGTATATATGTGACGGTCACCAGTTACAATCACGTGGGCCGTCACGTACTGGATGTACTGAAATAATTAAGGAACCATTACTGAATACCAAACAATAGTCAAATTAACAAAAAAAAAATTTTTGGCTATTCTTTTTCACAGTGTGTGTGTGTGTTTTGTCTCATCTCCTGTTTTGTATCGTACCATCTGGGCGACTGTCTGCTACAGTGAAAGTCATAAAGCTTAATGATTTTAGCAAACAAAAAACTCTTATCCTATTGGTCAAATAAATAAAGCGCTGACCTGGTCACGGTCACTATTTCGTTAAAGGTAAGGCTCTGCTGTAATCGATAGTACGTGTTATATTAATATAACATAATTTTATTACATATAATGTGCAACTGTTGTGAACTACTGAATAATTTCTTATCGCCATTATCTTACTAATATTGTAACGGTGAAAATTTGTGAGTACGGATGGATAGATGGATGAGTTTATTCATCCATCCATCCATCAATATTTCTATAATGGATATTTGATTCCATAATGGAATCAAATATCTAAATTATACTTAAATCTTATACATAAATCATTATACTTAAATGGTAGCCGAAGATCAATTACGCGTAATTCACCCATAAGACACTGAAACGCGTTATTTATACAAGATCTTTGTTACCTGTTTTCCACATTTAAAGACGTGCCCGTAAGAGTGTCACGAGCGATTTGCTATCCCTTAACCCTTCGAACGTTTTAACACAGATCTGTGCACCCCTCTAAAAACGTATTACCGTATTGTCATAGATCTGTGTCCGCAAAATCCTGATTTCTTTTTAACCAATTTAGTCCTTATTTAAAACGCAATAAGATCGAAACGCATTTGAAAAAATAAAGCTGGCGCGCGCATACCGCCTTTTCAGTTTCGGTCGCTGCGACAGACGACAGACAGAAAGGTTAAGTGTATGGATGTTTGACACTGTTTCAAGAAAAAATTTCTGATATTTTGATGAAACTACTGTAACATAGCTTATACATATGCTATAATTTTAAAAAATATTATGTATACTTGGCGAAATATACCTAATGATAAATATCAAGTGAGTGTAATACAGACGACATCGCGTGGGTAATCTAGTGAGTACATAATTATGTTGACATACCCTCTTTCACGACAATGTTGAAGTCCTTGACGGCGTGACACGATTTTCCAAACATCTTGGGATACCTTTTGTGAGTCTTGTATACGACCATCGCTTCCTGCGATGATTGTACTGTGAAAATATATAAATATTTTAATAATTTATAACCCTACAATTAAATATACATATATAGTGGCGTAGTTAGGTAACCAAGGGCGCTGGGGCAAATAAAAAAATGGACCCCACTGAGAGCAGTGGTGGCCCCACTGCTCTCAGTGGGGTCCATTTTTTTACATTACAGTTTTATAAAAAACGCACATAACGCTATACCTCAATTTGACAACACTGCCAACCCACAGAAAAATTTTAGCGGAATTCCGAAGGTTTTAGGAAGAATTGTTTGTAATTATCGGAGTGTTTTCTAAGAATATTATGTATGTGCTAAAAATGTATTAGTAGTTATATCCGTTGCCTAGTGTAACCAAAACACATGCTCTGCTTAGCTTGGGACTAAATGGCGCTCTGGGAATCACATTGTTATCTAATTTATAAATATCTAAATTGTATTTTTAATAATGATAATTAATTTAAAATATGTAAATTTCTACTCTAGTAATAGAATAATTCAAATATGTATTTGCATTAAATAAAAACCATCATACACCATACCATCTATTATGACCACAATTATAACAAATAAAATTTCATTTCGTTTCATATCACACACAGATATAAACGTGATTGATATTAAGCTCAGTTTACCCGTGATCATGATGGTTGAAACACTACCGAAATATCGGGAACTCAGCAAATAAATATAAAACGTGGTAAGATTCCGTGATTATTACTAATTAATATTAACGTATAAATAATGACCGCGTCAAGTTTAAAACAAAAACATAAGTAGTATTATCCATAGCGCCATCACTACAGTTACTGATATAATTATCAAAATTAATAAAAATTTGTTTATATTATTTCTGCGGAACCCGTTATGAGTCCGCTACACATTTGACCAGTGTTATTATAAATTAACATTACTTCATACAATTACAATGATTGTTTTGCTACTGTATACTCACACTTTTTTATAACCTCGACGGCCAACTCCTTTTCATTTTTAACCGTCTCAGAGGGTCCTCCATTACCACTTTCTGTTTCATCGTTACGGTGTCGGGGTAAAATTTTCCAATATAAATTGAATAACATGTCACTCAATACGTTGAACACACCGCACTGTATGCCGATCAATATACTCTAAAAAAAGAGGGTAAAGTAAGTATCAAGAATAGAATAAGAAACATAAACTAGGCAAATAACTAAGGCAACTATAACAAATTGCATCCTACGGTCCAAGAGGGTTAACGTCAGGTAGGCGGCCGGTCATACTAAACTAAAGCCAAAACCTTTCCCCCGTAATATGATGTTAAGGAAAATTATCTTAGAAAGAATGAGGTTTTCCCTTCCCTTTAAAAAGAAAGAAACAAACCTTCGATTGCGGTGATAATTTTTTGTGTATGTACAGAATACAGATGCATTGGATGCAAATTAAGTGAATATAAATTATATATTCTGTAAATGTATGTCCTATCTATATACCGTTTAAGTAATTTTTTTGCCCTCCAAAATATATTCGTAGTTCACTGAATAGGGTCATCCTTTTTATCTAGGGCTTCAAAAATTTGTCTATGATCTGTTCAAAGATCTACCAATAAGATATCAAGAAATTCATAAAAATATTGGAGGAGCTCTATATATAGGTATGTACATTTTTAGGTACTATAAAACAAACACTCGCTTCCACTGCCTGCCTTCCTGTAGTGTGAAATTCAATTCCTTTATGCGTCCCTATGTATGCTTAAATCTTAAAAAACTACGCAACGGATTTTGAAGCGGAGGAAGGTTTATATGTATAATACATGTACACCTGGGCTAAGATGGGGCGAGTAGCTTAGTATTATCTATCTCGAGTTTTAAAGTGTTACTTACCATATATACCAAGAACTGTATAATGAGAAATATCATCGCAGATAATGGAGAATAATCGTCGAAACAGAAATAGCACCTTGGATTCTGTTTTTGTTCTGTAAATAAATAATAAAAGCGATTTAGCATGGCTATTACATTTGTTACATATATAGGCGTGAATCATGCGAGCAGAGTCATCTCTAACACTATGTGCAGTCGAAATACAATATCTTCAAGTTTTAAATTGACATCTTATTAGTAATAAATTATGTTCAAAACAAAATAAGGGCCAGTAATAAAATACTTACGTAGTAATAGTAAGAATATAAACAAAAATTACAATTGTTTCGAGTCCGTAATAATCTGTAAATGTTAAATTACGACTTCTTTAAAGTTTAATTAATGTTTATAGTGACAAATAAATTTGGTGAGAATACTTTTTTCTTTGTTTTAAAGCTTCACTTAATGGATCTTGAAAATTGTGTTACTGCGACATTTAATTTTATGACTTGATTCATCCACTAATAGGGCAGACGGTTCATATCGAGTCTTTGATTTCAAATCTCAATAGGAGAGATATGGATGCAATTATAGCGACTAGGCTCGTAATTTTAATCCAGGAAAATCACAGTCAGCACGATGTGGTTTCATGGTTGGTTATTCGCGGCGGACAGTTTCAACTGTTTAGAGACGGTACCAGGAGAGGAGTAGTGTTCCCAGACGTCGTGATTCAGGAAGAATTTGGGTTATAATAGTTGAAGATGATCAGTATAATAATAATAATAATAATATCAAAACTGAAACATACCGGTATCTGGGCATGTCACAAAACATCGGTGTGAGGGAGACGGATATGAAACAGTCAGTCCGTGAGGAATTTTTTGCGCGCCTTACAAGAGTATGTACTGAAAAGTTCCTTGTCGGGTACCAATAAGATCCGAGCATATAACGGCTGGGTCATACCCGTACTCCTTTACACTTTTGGCGTGCTCAGATGGTCTCAAATTGAACTCGAAGCCCTGGATCGGAAAGTCCGCACAACTATGACCCTCCATAGAATGCATCACCGGAAATCGTCAGTCATGAGGCTGTAGTAAAAATGTAGTAAAAAACGGTTATTTCAATATTACAAACAGACACTCCAATTTTATTTATATGTATAGATGTATAGATTATTATTTATTTATTTATTTATTCATCCAAAATAATACAAATTGTGTAGGATAACGTAATAGTAACATTACAGTAAAATTTTGTCAACAACATAATAGCAACTTAAATATTAAATCTCGGTATATCTATAGACTAGCTGGCCCCAGCGACTTCGTCCGCGTGAAATTTTATTTTATTTTTCTAAAATAACAGTAGCGTAAGTTACTCCTTATTACATCAGCGACTTGCCAAAAAAAGTCCCGTCAAAATCGGTCCAGCTATTTCAGAGATTAGCCGGAACAAACAGACAGACAGACAAAACTTGTAAAATATGTTATTTTGGTGTATGTACCGTATTTATATGCATATGCATGTAGTAAAAAAGGGTTATTTCAATATTACAAACAGACATTCCAATTTTATTTATATGTATAGATTAAAAAAAAAGTAACAGTCATAAGGCTAGTCGTATGCCTAATATATATAATAATGTAATAAATTCATTTAAACAGAAATTGCGGGAACATTATTTAAATTTGTAACTTTTTTACTGTCCTTCTCCTTTTTTCACATCTTTCTGTTATATCCCTATAGTTCTCTATATATTTTCTGTTTTTCTTACTTTCAATTTGAGACTGTACTTATAATTTGATTATCGGATCATTATGTATTTATTTATACATTTATGGGTTATATATTTATGTATGTATATTGTTATTTTTTTATAGAAATGTATATTTTGCTTTGTATTTATATATCTTTTTTTGACATTTCTTATTTATATTAGTGCACCGCCAATAATCTTTCGCTGCACCACTCATGGTTGCCTGGTAAATAACGCGGCAAGATATTAAGTCCGCCACATGTACAAATTTTTTTGTGCATTAAAGTTAAATAAATAAAAAAAATACAATACTGTTTAATGAAAATGCGTATTGTCTAGTGCTTTGAGATGTATCAAAATAAGGTCAACAAAAAAGTCCGTGATGGTATATGTCTATCTCTCAAGGATAACAAACAATAACCATTTTTTATCTTTTACATTTTACGGGAATTTTTTTTATCGTATGTTTCCCTTAAAATCATGTAAACTATGCTATTATGTCATAATCTAAAGAAATAATAATATTTTATAGTGAAATATCCACTATAAAATAGTAATGTAAGTAGCAATGTAATTCGTTACGCGCGAATCAGCTGTTATAAGGTCAAAGGTCGGTGCACCCCGCGTATTTGATAAATAGTGCTTCTCTGGATGTCTTTAAGAGAAAATGGCAGTATGTACGTGTATATGTACAAGTCTTTAAGTGTTAAGTTTTTCAAATGTACAATAAAGAATAAATATTTTTAAGTACAGTACTTACGTACATTAATATAATACCTACTTTTTACTTGTATCTATTGTCATCAAAATTAAATTATAAGTTCTTAACTTGACCACGACTATGTGACCCTCTCTTGGCGCCAAAACGAGTGAAAAAATGAACAGCATACGACGACGACGCATACCTATAGAGTGGAGCAACTGCTTATTCAGTTTTATTCAACTATTTAGTCCCTCCACCGTCACAATGAATGGAGGCGGATATTACAATGTATGTAGCATTGCGAATATAAAATATCTAGATTAGGTATAATAAATTCATAATTGATAGTCCGTTACGGTATCAGAGCCAAAAAGTCTTCTTTCTTTATTTATGTACTGTTAGATGCGACAGCGATTTTGTTTTATACTACACTATGTAATGATTGATATACCTAAAATAAATAAAATATCTGAGGTTTGGACAAAAATTCAAAAGGTACTTTATTTTGAAAATACCTATTTTGCATTTAGTATTTGAAATACAAAACACAAAACTATTTTTGTTTTTAGAGTGACATTTCTATGAATTCACTGTCGATAGCGAGCGGTGCGATGGAAAAAGATAACCGTTTATAAAAATATAATAAATAGCCCTGGACAATTAACACAGACTGATACTGAACTGATATAAATAGATATTTTTATTTTGTAAATACATATATAATATACATATAAAACACCCAGACCGATGAAAACAATCGATGACCGATGAGTACAAATGTTTGCACCGTGCGAGAAATCGAACCCGCGACCATCGGATGTAAAGCGGTGTGACCACCGAGGCAGTCGAAATATATAAATAATCTTATGAATTTAATTTATTCTAATTTGTTTGTGTGCGCGGGGTGCGGTGTACGGTGCTCCCCCCTGCCTCCACCGATGCTGGAGCTTGCATGAATGGAGCATTGCGAATATAAAATATCTAGATTAGTAAATTAATAAATTCATAATTGATAGACCGTTACGGTACCTATATATATTCGGATGAAAATAAGTATCGCAGTAAGGACCAGTAGATAAAGTGATCAACAGAATTAATTGATTTTTGGACTATATACAGAGCCAAAAAGTCGTTGTGTATTCAAAAAATATCTAATTTGTTTGTGTGCGCGGGGTGCGGTGTACGGTGCTCCCCCCTGCAACGGTGGAGTTACTATGTATGGAGCATTGCGAATATAAAATATCTAGATTAATAAATTAATAAATTCATAATTGATAGACCGTTACGGTATCTATATATATTCGGATGAAAATAAGTATCGCAGTAAAGTATGTTTATATATATATATATATAAATAATATACACATACATAAATATATAAAATAAATACATGTATAACGAAAACAAACATTAAAGAAAGATTTTTAATTAGAGAAAAAGTGAGATTTGATTAGTTTTTTGAAAATGGAATGGCATTGAGCAGATCTAATAGAAAGTGGCAAGGAGTTCCAAAGACGATATATCCGTCAATATATACGACAGTATATCCGTTTAACCGCACGAAGAGAGCGGATTTCCACGGCACTTACCATACAAAATGTATTATGCCGAGCTAAAGGCACTCGTGTGAACGACCAAATTGTCGTTGTCGTGAAGACCAACAATATTCAAGACAAAGTTTAGATGGTATTCACTTAAATGCAGTAAAAAAAAAATAAAAGACAACATCTGCATTGTAGAGTTCGGAGAATGCCGCTTCTGCCAGCAGAGGAGGAGGTGGGTGCACTCACCGCAGCAGCGCTCCACGTCGAACCCGGCGTCGTGCACGGGGAGGCGCGGGCAGAGGTGGCGGTTGAGCGCGCAGTAGGCGTTGAGCCGGCCGACATTGGCGGCCTGCAGCGCGGCCAGCAGAGGAGGAGGTGGGTGCACTCACCGCAGCAGCGCTCCACGTCGAACCCGGCGTCGTGCACGGGGAGGCGCGGGCAGAGGTGGCGGTTGAGCGCGCAGTAGGCGTTGAGCCGGCCGACATTGGCGGCCTGCAGCGCGGCCAGCAGAGGAGGAGGTGGGTGCACTCACCGCAGCAGCGCTCCACGTCGAACCCGGCGTCGTGCACGGGGAGGCGCGGGCAGAGGTGGCGGTTGAGCGCGCAGTAGGCGTTGAGCCGGCCGACATTGGCGGCCTGCAGCGCGGCCAGCAGAGGAGGAGGTGGGTGCACTCACCGCAGCAGCGCTCCACGTCGAACCCGGCGTCGTGCACGGGGAGGCGCGGGCAGAGGTGGCGGTTGAGCGCGCAGTAGGCGTTGAGCCGGCCGACATTGGCGGCCTGCAGCGCGGCCAGCAGAGGAGGAGGTGGGTGCACTCACCGCAGCAGCGCTCCACGTCGAACCCGGCGTCGTGCACGGGGAGGCGCGGGCAGAGGTGGCGGGTGAGCGCGCAGTAGGCGTTGAGCCGGCCGACATTGGCGGCCTGCAGCGCGGCCAGCAGAGGAGGAGGTGGGTGCACTCACCGCAGCAGCGCTCCACGTCGAACCCGGCGTCGTGCACGGGGAGGCGCGGGCAGAGGTGGCGGTTGAGCGCGCAGTAGGCGTTGAGCCGGCCGACATTGGCGGCCTGCAGCGCGGCCAGCAGAGGAGGAGGTGGGTGCACTCACCGCAGCAGCGCTCCACGTCGAACCCGGCGTCGTGCACGGGGAGGCGCGGGCAGAGGTGGCGGTTGAGCGCGCAGTAGGCGTTGAGCCGGCCGACATTGGCGGCCTGCAGCGCGGCCAGCAGAGGAGGAGGTGGGTGCACTCACCGCAGCAGCGCTCCACGTCGAACCCGGCGTCGTGCACGGGGAGGCGCGGGCAGAGGTGGCGGTTGAGCGCGCAGTAGGCGTTGAGCCGGCCGACATTGGCGGCCTGCAGCGCGGCCAGCAGAGGAGGAGGTGGGTGCACTCACCGCAGCAGCGCTCCACGTCGAACCCGGCGTCGTGCACGGGGAGGCGCGGGCAGAGGTGGCGGTTGAGCGCGCAGTAGGCGTTGAGCCGGCCGACATTGGCGGCCTGCAGCGCGGCCAGCAGAGGAGGAGGTGGGTGCACTCACCGCAGCAGCGCTCCACGTCGAACCCGGCGTCGTGCACGGGGAGGCGCGGGCAGAGGTGGCGGTTGAGCGCGCAGTAGGCGTTGAGCCGGCCGACATTGGCGGCCTGCAGCGCGGCCAGCAGAGGAGGAGGTGGGTGCACTCACCGCAGCAGCGCTCCACGTCGAACCCGGCGTCGTGCACGGGGAGGCGCGGGCAGAGGTGGCGGTTGAGCGCGCAGTAGGCGTTGAGCCGGCCGACATTGGCGGCCTGCAGCGCGGCCAGCAGAGGAGGAGGTGGGTGCACTCACCGCAGCAGCGCTCCACGTCGAACCCGGCGTCGTGCACGGGGAGGCGCGGACAGAGGTGGCGGTTGAGCGCGCAGTAGGCGTTGAGCCGGCCGACATTGGCGGCCTGCAGCGCGGCCAGCAGAGGAGGAGGTGGGTGCACTCACCGCAGCAGCGCTCCACGTCGAACCCGGCGTCGTGCACGGGGAGGCGCGGACAGAGGTGGCGGTTGAGCGCGCAGTAGGCGTTGAGCCGGCCGACATTGGCGGCCTGCAGCGCGGCCAGCAGAGGAGGAGGTGGGTGCACTCACCGCAGCAGCGCTCCACGTCGAACCCGGCGTCGTGCACGGGGAGGCGCGGACAGAGGTGGCGGTTGAGCGCGCAGTAGGCGTTGAGCCGGCCGACATTGGCGGCCTGCAGCGCGGCCAGCAGAGGAGGAGGTGGGTGCACTCACCGCAGCAGCGCTCCACGTCGATCCCGGCGTCGTGCACGGGGAGGCGCGGACAGAGGTGGCGGTTGAGCGCGCAGTAGGCGTTGAGCCGGCCGACATTGGCGGCCTGCAGCGCGGCCTCCGCGGCGGCGTGCGGCGCGAGCGTGGCGCCGGCGACGCACGCCATCCAATGCGCAACGTCGCGCGTGGTGCCGCCCTCCAGCTTCTCCGTCGCGAACCGCACCGTCGGCGTCACGCACCCTGACCCACACCATTACCGTTGCGTCACTCATCTACACGCGCATCACTCGCCTGCACGCGCGTCTCAAAGCCGCGAGGGGCACAGGTATCGTACATGTAATGATCACGGCCAGAGGTCGGACTATGGAGCGTTGTGTGACCTCCTTCGATCGCACTTATCATGCAAAGATAGCTATCGATACGCACTGCACTTTCAGTCTTTCAAACTCATCGTCGTGAAAACCTATGTCTCCCTTTTCACTGTTTTTGGCGATAAAATCACAGCGTCACTAATATCGAAGTAAGTAATTCTGGTATAATTATGCATTTACATTTAAGTGGTATTCAAAAATAAAAGTAGTACTTGATTGTTATTTATTTATTTATTTATTTTCGGAAAACCAAGGCTATTTACAAACATAGTTATAAACATAATTAAATGATAACGGCCACTTATAGGTTTCCACGGATAGAAACGTAATATAAAAAAAAATTACAGTGCTAACACGAGAGGCGTGTTTGTGTTATAAATACTCATAAAATCATATATCAAACAATAACAATCCACTAAATTAAAACATATGCTGAAATTAACAAACAAACATTTTTGAATAATGGAAATGCATATAAGTAACATTAAATTCAATACCTATAACTCAAAGAATTGCCTGCTCATCACGGCCCTCGCTAAAGATATTCCATCGGAAAACAAATCAATATCTAACACCCTACTTAATCTATTGAAGTTATTACTTGCTCGCCACATATAACTGTTTTGCCTATAGTTAGATGATACAGAAGGTATAGAAATAGAAGGAGTAAATCTGGTACGTTTAGCTGGTACATTAAAATTAAATTTTGAAAGTAACTCTGGACAGTCTATGACACCGGAGGCTACTTTGATCAAGTAAATGATATCAGCAATTTCACGGCGTTTCTCAAGGGTAAGTAAGTGGTGTTTTTTACACATACTAATATAATGTTTAGAGTCATATTGCTGTTTGATACGATAGGCAAGAAAACGGACAAATTTTTTCTGCACATTTTCGATACGTGCAATGTACGTATCATATCTGGGGTTCCAAATCTGAGATGCATACTCCAACTTACTGCGCACCAGTGTACAGTAAAGTATTTTTAAAGTTTTAGCTTGTACGAAGCAGCTGGAGTTACGCATAACAAATCCCAGGGCGCGCATTGCATTATTAACAATATTGTTAATATGTGTGTCGAATATTAATTTAGAATCGAGTGTTATTCCTAAATCATTTGTCTGCGATACTTTTTTTAGCTGTTGACCCTTAAGCAAATAATTATTATGAATAGAGTTAAGTTTGCGTGTAAATGTAACCGAAAAACACTTTATTAGTAAACTGGTAGAACATTATTAGATTTTTCAAACAATTTTGGTAGGTACCACTCAATGTACGAAATTGTCTGTCCCTTAGAACCGGACACGAAGTAATCCCTTAGCACCGGACAGTAAACATATTGATATTTCTTGTAAGAATTTACGTTATTTATTCTAATTATTTAATTTTGCTTTAGAGAATAGCAGAACAAAAAGAATTGAAATGGAAGAGAAGAAAAACAAAGGATCGTGGGAGCTACAGAGCTTATAAAGTGCAATTGTTAAGTTTATGTCAAAAAAACTGAGTGTAAAATAAGCTGCAATGGGATACGATTTTCCTAAAATATAACGCCTTTATTATATCATGTAGAGTGCCTGTTTAACATTCTAGAACTATTATACAAATAAAAGACGTACCAACATTAATTGACAATTTAATTTTTGCATTACAATGAATACATGTAATGATCAAAACGAAACTATAGCGCATTTTAGAATTGACACAGCTCCAATTAGTATTTCATACTGTAAACTATTACGGCCAATACTTATTACAATTTACACAGTGCCTACATGATAAAATAAAGGCGTTAAATCGAGGAGAAGAAACGATGAAACTGAAGTTGAGTAGGTTCACTGCCATCTTCTCAGCAGAGTATGAACAAGTCTTGGTGGACCACGTTAAAGATTTATCTAACAGATGTATGCCGCTCATGAAAAAGGAAAGCAAATCAAAGGAAAAAGCGTAGACAAGGGGAAACAAGCGAAAAACGTGAAGTCTAAAGGAAAAATGGAAATAAAGTAGAACTATTAACTGAAACATCTAACTCAAACACAACACACAACAATTGCGTATTTTGTTTAGAAGACACTGACAAAGACTGGATCCAGTGCTCATCCTGTCGTGGGACAGTACATGAAGCATGTACAGACGTTCCAGAGTGGGTAGATGGCTACACATGTGATCGATGCAGGCTATTTTGAAATGTCCGGTACTAGGTGCCACTTTTATAAATTACATTTTTTATTATCTAAGTTTGATTGATAATATTAATTATATTTAATCAGACGTTGTGTTTTTTTAAATTTAATTTCTCACTTTGTTATGTACTATAAGTCATAAATAAATAAACATTCCTTAAAATATTTTTTGTTTTATTAATAAAATACCTTAGGTGTCCGCCACTAGGGGACTTCCCCCTATATATAAATGACGTTTACGTGATTGATTCACAATGGAAACTGATCCCAGTATTATATACTGTTAGCGCTTTATAACAGCAGCATTATGATATTTATATTAAAAAAAATAGACAATGCATTGTTATTACACATGTTTCATATCTCCCAGACATTGCGAAATCAGAATTAACGACTACGTCTCATAATGAGTATTAAAACCAAATTAATAAATGCGATTCGATTCCTTGTCGTTTGTCTTTCACACTTTCACTGCTTAACCAAACATTATGAAATGACATTTGGTTATAGAAAGACAAACTATTTTTACACAAGCTAATAAATATTTTAAATTAGATCTAATATAATTCACAATACACTTACCGAAAACTATGAGCATAGTGATTAGTATAATTCCAGTAACTTTTTCGGAGTAAATGCAACTGATGCAGTACATGAGGGATAAGAAAGCGAGGCCTCCAATAAACATAATTAGTCCATATGTCACTGCAAAGAGAGAATACGTTTATACGGTACTATGTCTCAAATATGGATCTGTAATGGATCAGTATTATCTTGTTTAATTCTAAGACAATTAGTATATATGTATGTGTAAATAGAGGTGTTATGAGCTAACTCATTAGTGACAAACAATTGTTAAAATTTGATTAAATTCTAAATTAGCAATAACACTCTAGTAGAAATAAAAATATTTAAATTATCATCTGTAAATTAATAAATAAACATAAATGTATCACACAAAATTAAATAATAAATACCAATTATAAAAAAAAACAATAGACACGGAAAAATATAATTTTTATTTTTGTGTCCAATAACCGAACTAATAAATATGATAAGTTAATAAAAATGGCGAGCGCGTGCGTCGTGCCGCTGTGAGTGCGCGGAGTGGGACGGTGAGGGTGACACTCACCGAGCAGGCCGGGCTGGCGGAGCGTGCGGTCGGCGTCGAGGAGCGCGGCCGCGACCAGCATCAGCACGAGCGGCGCCAGCGTGGCGAGCGCGTGCGAGGCGAGCGTGGTCGCCCAGTGCAGCAGCGGCGGGCAGCCTGACAGCACGTGTATGTGGCGCGTACCCATCATCCGCTCCTTGCTCGGCAGCGACACGAAGTTGATGATCGTCGCCAGGTACACTATGTTAAATTACAATATATATATACCAATACCAATGCAACTATCTTACATTACTCAGGAACGACGAAATCTTCAACTTAAAATGTACAGATCGACGACATACAATGGATCCAACCTGCAAGTATTATATGTATGTATGGGGCCATCAATTTTAGAAGTTTTTAATCTCCTCCATTTGAATGATTAAAATTAAGTGTTTGATTTTTTTTTCTCTAGGTTTGTACATCTTTCTGTGACTTATTGTATGGATAGTCCCCCTAATGGAACAGCCCAATTGTAAACACCATGCATTTGTCAACTTGTATTATCTTACTTTTGTTTTCATCTAACTTGTAAATGTAGAATAGGATAATTAAACTCACAGATAATAATGGTGATGGCCCATGCAGCAGTCATCGTTTGACTCTTCGGATGTTGTAAAGGTATTTTTTGTGTCAGCTCCACATTATCAATAGGATGGTTGTAGGTGGAGATGACGGATTCGTTTGCGGAGAGAAGGAGCATTCCCAGGCGGTTGGTGAATGTGTTCATAGCGACAGGCAATGCGTGACGCACTATTGTAGTGTACAAAACCTGGTGTACATTTTATTAATTAATCTCAATGTTGCTTTTTAGTAATAAGTAATCTTAATAAATTAATATGTGGTAATTGATAAATGTAACTATAAGAAATTTAAAGACAGTTTTAAACACTAAATAATAATATGCTTAACAAAAGAAACAAAATATGTTTTTCATAATGAGATCTGCTGTGACTGTGCCATGCTAAATGAAAAATAATCTTTTATATGTACTACTGACATGCCTGGCCTCAATGTCTGTTCTCATGAACATACTGTATACATATTAACATAATATATAGAGTAATTATATTTTTTTTTTCAAATTATATCCTAATGTTGTTCGCTGCAGCTGGGCTTTACCGCTTCATCGAACGATAGGGGGCGAGTGCAGATGGCATTCCAAATCCGAAGAAGGACTTACGGAGCGGCTGAAGGCCAATTTCTGCCCGACTGAGTCAGGGAGCACCTACAAACTTCGACTACGGCCGTCTAATTTTGATTCCTGTTTTGGACGAGGGATCGATCGGAGGGAAAATTCACTCTAGAATATTGTACCTTTAAAGCAATGTTTAAGACAAAGAAATAATTTTGAATACATTAACTTTTTTTTAGTTCTTCTATTAATAAAAATATCAAATATGCTATTAATAATTACTAGACATAATAACAAAAAAGAACCATTTCATTTGAACGTGTATACATATATTTTATTTACTTTTATACTACATATTTACTGTCAATTACATTTAATCAAATGATCAACTTTTTTCGGGTGACAAACTTACCTTTCCATCTGTATCATTCAGCTCCATCCCAGTCAAATATTTGTTATATTCCAATTTGTCGATTTGGCCAATATGGATAATATCTGAATAAATAAAACAAAACAATACATTTGTTACTCATTTAGCGCGGGGACAGGCAGCTGGCGCAATCGTGACTGAATTTTACTATATTTTTTGTGTTCACTCTTTCGTGCGTGATATCTCGTATATTTCTTCGCACTTTATTTTAAAATTGTATTTTTATACCACAGTTTATGTTTTCCAAAGACATGTTTTATAATTATAAATTATCTTTAACTCTATAATTATGTCTTTGTTCCATAGTCAAATATCCGTCATTTTGCAATGATAAATTCATAAAGGCGCTAAAGTTTAAAGTCTTCTTATAACTTAGGATAATATACTGTAGCCTAAGGTCTAACTTGGCTAGTACTCATATACTAATTATTACTTTCGATGGCTAGTTACTACTAATAATAAAACAGGAAGCGACAAGTAACAAGTTTAGAAATTGCGAAGGCTACAGTATATCGTATATGAAAACTAGCCAAGTCAGACCTTAGGCTACAGTATATTATCCTAAGTTATAAGAAGAAATGATATTTTATATTGTTATAAATACATTTCAGGACAGACCATTGAACTTGGCACCCATTTAGATCTCACCTCTTTTGTCGTAGAAGTCAACAATCAAGGCATATATCATAATATTAAACTCGGCTATCATTTCACATTTATGTTTTTGATGGGATATCATTACTTTTTGTACACAAATTATACGAGGTACTTATTTATAACTAAATTAATACCAAATTATTTTTGATAAACTACTGTATTTTCGTATGTTTTCGGGGTATATGATATTTCGACTATACTCTTAGTTATAAGTACGAGTATATTTTAGACAGAATCTAAATTATAGCAACTAGTGTTTACCGCCCAATGCAATATTTGAAGTTTGCTAGGTATCGACACTGATGTGAAGGGGTTAACGTAAATTGGTAAACATCGACGTTCTCATACAATATTACTTTCCGTCTAGTACAAGATGATCTCTGGTAGCCAGGGATCAATGTTCTTTGGTGGCTATCGACGTTTTCATAGAATATTACTTTCCGTCCAATACAAGATGAGCTATTTTTGCCAGGGATCAATTTTCATTGGTGCCAATCGACGTTTTCATAGAATTTTAGTATTCGTCCAATATAAGTTGAAATAGAATCAATTAAAGTGAAAAATTATAATAAAATGATAACAATTTACCAATTTCAATTTACCATTTTTTCCTTTATATTCACCTAATTACCTATCTGCATGCCAAATTTGAACTTCCTAGGTGATCTGGAAGTGTGTTATAATTTTGATCTATAGTTGATCAGTGATAAAAATGACTATATTTGGACGTTAATATCTAAATAACCGTTTGAGATATGTTTATGAAATATGGAACACATATTTATCTCGCAAGTCACAATATATAAACCAAATTTGACAGTTTTATGTGAAAGAGTTTTTGAGTTATGAGGGGGTCAAAACTGACTCCAGATGGTTCGTGTAAAACTGCATACGGTGCTGCTCGCCAGTTCTCTTGCTTGAAACTCGGCTTGACACGCTACCGCGTGTCTAGATCTAATAATAAGGTGTAATGGGATATTTACCTCTGGTAATATCTGTGCTTTGTTCCTCTGTTACGCCGCAGCACAGCTTGATATCTCTCCTCGCAGGCACATCGCTTAAATCCACATTGAACAGTGCACGTTTATCCAATATCTTGTTATATAGGCTGAAATCCATTAGCTTCGGTTTGGAGATATACGGTTCGGGTACTTCGTCGTTGTACAGTTTCGTGAATAAGCATGCCATGAGGACTGGTAGGACCAGTTGCTGTAAAATATACAAATTGGATTATTTTCAAATACAAATCATTTTTTTATTACTCTTTATTGCACTATAACTGTACAGAGAAATAATATAAAAAAGCGACCGCCCTTACTCTGTACTTTTATTGTGATCAGCAGACCCAAAAAATACTACCACTTTCTTGATCACTAGTATTAGTAAGTAATTTTACAATATAATAATATATTATTTATACATAAAAAATATACTGTCAAAATCAGAGATTGACTGCAAATGGTAGTTTTTAAATGGCTGATAAAAATTACTTGTAATTTCTTCCAGACAAACTTTGAGTAGAGGAGAAAACACAGAAGGCTGTTAGATGACGTATGAATGGGATGAAGGAAATTAAATTAAATATAAAGGACAACTATGTAAATAAGGTACATATATTATGTTCATAGATTTACAATAGAATCCCATTTTGAAAAAAATCGCAGTACGTATATGAACTTTTTCATGTGTCATCATCGTATAAATATTCTCTGATGTCATAAAAACATTTGTCCAGTAACCGGTAATGTAATATTTTTTTGTGCCATAAATGGTGCAGATATTGAGTATATACATGCAAGGCAACGGAAGAATACCAAGTTTCTTAAATAGAGATCTACATGAGTCTCTGCACCAGACATTGCAAAGGGCTCTAATACAATTTTTTGAGCTTTAAAAGCTCTATCTACATCAAATGGATTGCCCCAAATTAGCAATCCATAAGAAATAAAACCATGATACACATTGAACGCGCAGTTTGTAAAATAGCTACTTGTCGGAGTTTAAACGATGCAAATACAAATCTATTATTTTTTTGCAAATATTGTCAATATGTCTTTTTCCAAATCGTATTTTCATATATACAGGAGAAAAAGTAATTTAGGGCTCTGAGGAACGCAATTTCTATTAAACCTAAACTGCGAGCGTACTGATTCTCTTACATTTTTTTTGCAAATAATCTATATGAAAAAAAAATGTATATTACTTTCTGTCTTGTTGGTAGCTTCTAAACCACCATCATCATTATCATCATCTGCTTCTTCCTTATCCCATTTATTTGTGGTCGTCATAATATGTTTTTCTGTTCCATTCATCCCTGTTCGCAGTCATCGCGTTATTTACTTCCTTTCTTACCATATCATTGGTAGCTTCTAAACCAATTAAATGAAATTCCCTTAATACCTAAGTTGTCTAATTTTTTAAATATATAATGCTTCAAGTTCCACTTGCTGATTTCTATACTATACTTCTATACTGCTATCAAATCGAATATTCTTTAAGTTATAAATCTTTGAAGACTAGCGTGGATGTTATATTTATATACTCTACAACATGCAATATATAAATACAGAACATAAAATTATGTAAGCATTAAGTATACCGCATCGTTTCTCCGTACATTAGTTGCTGTTAATTTTACAATAACCATGAAAATCCACAGAAAATTATAAATGCGATGCTTACTAGTAATAGAAAGGAGTACTTTTTAGATGCCATGAATTTTATTTGTCGCTTAAATAAAGCCTGGAATTGACGCCAGCGCAGTCGCCACCCACTGACTTTAACGAGATCTGAAAAAAATGTAAAGGTTTATTTTGGATGTTGCAGCACGCAACAGGAAGATGGGCACAGTGGGTCTGATTGGCTCTGTTTGTGCGTCTCTTCTTTTGTATCACGATGAAGTATGATAAGATATGATATTTCGAGTATAAGTTATAAGTACGAGTATATTTTAGACAGAATCTAAATTATAGCAACTTGTGTTTACCGCTCAATGCAATATTTAAAGTTTGCTAGTTATCCACACTGATGTAAAGGGGTTAACGTAAATTGGTAAACATCGACGTTTTCATACAATATTAATTTCCGTCCAGTACAAGATGAAATTTTTCGCCAGGGATCAATGTCAATTGGTGGCTATCGACGTTTTCATACAATATTACTTTCCGTCCAATACAAGATGAGCTATTTTTGCCAGGGATCAATTTTCATTGGTTGTTATATACGTGTTGTATATATAACAATAATTTGTAATTATTTTAATATACAACAGTGTGTAATAACCCTTACAGTAATCTAGGCTGCACCGTCAGCTACAAAATTCTTCCACGTGCAGTTTCGCTGACGATGCAGCACTTTCCTATTAAATTAAAATATATATTTCCACATAATTGTAAGAACCGGCCTCCATCGCGGAGCTGCCAGTGGTGTAGCATTTAATAAATATTTTTTAGAAAATTATATTTTTTTTAAAAGTCTTCCTCGGCTGTGATATAATTGGCGCAGTCGGTAGGATCTTCGCGTTCGCGTTATCTGAACTTCGAAAACCGAATAACCGTTTCTACGGTCTTGGCGAGGATCCAGAACCTTTAACAAGCAGCCGGGAGAAAGGACAAGGCAGAAGAAGTCATCACAGAGTGGAGACAAGATGATAGCCGTGCAGACTCTGTAAGTGCTTATTATCTTTTCATTGTTTCCCTGACCTTCCTTCGCCGACCGAAGCATTTACTATTTTTAGTGTTTCGCTATTTTTATAAAATAATTAAAGTTAATTCTATCAATCTAGAATTGCATTAGGTAATTTATTAATAAGGCGACCGGAATACAATCGTCGTATTTCACTGATCGAATTACAAGTGACCGGCAATACGACCGTGCAATTATAATTATTATAATTCCAATTAGGTACTTTACTTAGTTTCATATAATAGATTTAGTGTATTGTTTTATTTCAGCTCTTATTATTTGATATTTTATTTTTGTGTGTGTCTTTATATATATTTAAAATGGCAAGTGAACAGGAACGCATACAACTTATCCATATGGTATTAAAAAATGTACCTCAATTCAATGGCGATCCAAATAGATTATACAGGTTTATAGCAACCTGTGACGACCTTACCATTACCTACTTCGCAAAAGATTACCCTGTAGCCAACGCCACCTTACTAAACGGTATTTTAAATAAAATAATAGGCGACGCCGAAGACGTATTGAACATAAGCGGAAATAATACTTCATGGACAGATATACGGAGAACTCTAATAGAAAATTTTGCTGATCAAAGGGACGAAACTACTCTAAATAGGGACCTAACTTTGTTAAGACAGGAAAATGAAACCCCACAAGAATTTTATATCCGTTGCCAACAAATGTTAAGTAAAATAATTAATTATATAAACATAAATATCACAGATACAAGTACGAAAGAAATAAAGCGATCCTTTTATACGGAACAAACCCTTCAAACATTTATAGCGGGATTGAAAGATCCTCTAGGCTCACAAGTTAGGTGTATGCAACCTACTTCTTTACCCATGGCACTTAAATACGTCCAAAAAGAACAGAATATTAAATATATGCAAACTACGTATCCGTCAGCCAGTTCTAGTAAAATTACAGAATTACGTAAACCATCCATGGTTTCTATGCCAGTTCCAGTCATGCCAATGGCAGTGCAACAACCTAGGCCTCTTTTAGGCAAACCTAACCCATTTGCTCATACCCACCAGGTATTCAGAGGTCAAGGCCCATCACAAAATCAACAGGGCTATAGACCCATGCAAAATAATTTACAAAATAAATTTTTCAACCCCCCGCGACCACAATTTAATTATGGAAACTTACAAAAACCTCAAATGAATCGATTCGCACCTATGAGTGGTGTTAGTACTATTAAAAATAAACCCCAATTTAGACCAGGAGGACAGGACTTGTCTAATTTCCAAAATCCCACTAATAGATATTTTAAATTCCGAGAAGTTAATATGAATAATTCGCAACCCTACGATAGTGAACAGTATTACTATCCACAGGAACCGTCCACTTCACACCCACAACTTGATGAACATTATTACCCTGTAGATTGTCCGGATATTGACTACGAACAGTACGAAAATTACGATAATTTAAACACAACTGATTATGCTCAGGAATATGAAAATGAGGATTTTCAGGATGGTTCGGTGAAAAACCAACCCTCGTGACAGAAATAAATTTACAAAGTAATCGTGTGTTACCCTATATACAAATTAACAACCCCCCATTAAAATTACTCATAGATACCGGTGCTAATCAATCTTTTATATCTCCGGAAGCCGTACAACGATATTTTTCTAATTTTCCTACTTTATATGAACCATTCGTAGTTACTAATATTCATTGCACTACAAAAAATTATTATGCCATCGAAATACCTATCTTTCCAGAGTTTAAAGAGAATGGACAAACAAAGTTTTATATATATAAGTTTCATGATGTTTTTGACGGATTAATTGGACTTGATTTTCTCAATAAATTAAAGGCTCGAATCGACTTAGGAGAAAACTTATTAAAAACTAACAATTCCATAAATAAAATACAAATGTTGAGATCTGGAGTTAATAACTTATACGAATGTATTATTAAGACTCAAAGTACGGAGCGAATTAAATTACCTGTATCGCGTAAGCAGGGCGATATTTTAGTTAACGAAACAAAAATAAATGGATGTTATATACATAATACTATTACAACAGCGCGAAATTATAAAGCATATGTGGAAATTTCAAATAATACACCGAATGACGTAATATTTAGTTTAAAACAACCCCTTCTATGTAGTTCAGTTAAAAATTTTAATTGTTATAATTTTGATATATTGGCAAATGAGAAATATAATATTAAATCTTTAATACGAACTGACCACTTAAACCAAGAGGAAAAAGCAAATATAGAACGAATTTGTGAACGATACAGTGACATTTTTTATTATGAAGGTCAGAATTTAACATTTACAAATGCAGTTAAACATAAAATTAATACTATGGATGAAATACCCATTTACACTAAAAGCTATAGATATCCCCATATACATAAACAAGAAGTTCAAGAGCAAATTAGTAAGATGTTGAAACAAAAAATTATACAACCCTCAAACTCACCCTGGTCATCCCCTATTTGGATAGTTCCTAAAAAGGCTGATGCCTCAGGCAGAAAGAAATGGAGACTCGTAGTTGATTTTCGTAAACTTAATGATAAAACTATTAATGATAAATATCCTCTCCCTAATATATCAGATGTTTTGGATAAATTAGGTAAATGTAATTATTTTAGCACCCTTGATTTAGCTAGTGGATTTTACCAAATTCAAATGCACCCCTTTGACATTCCTAAAACAGCTTTCAATGTCGAAAATGGACATTATGAGTTCCTCAGGATGCCCATGGGCTTGAAAAATGCTCCGTCCACCTTCCAACGGGTGATGGACAATGTACTTAGAGGTCTACCCAATACTGTTGTTTATTTAGATGACATTATTGTATATTCCACATCCCTTGCAGAGCATCTATTAAATCTGGAAACCGTTTTTCAGAGACTTAGAGAAGTAAATTTAAAAGTACAATTAGATAAGTCAGAATTTATGAAAAGAGAAACACCTTTTCTTGGTCATATAATCACTTCTAATGGCATAAAACCTAATCCTGAAAAAATTAAGGCTATTCAGAATTATCCTATCCCGAAGACTCCAAAAGAAATTAAAGGATTTCTAGGTCTCCTGGGTTATTACAGAAAATTTATACCACAGTTTGCCAAATTAACAAAACCTTTAACCAACTGTTTAAAGAAAGGCTTTAAAATTGAATTAACACAACAATACACAGATTGCTTTAATCATTGTAAATCGCTTCTTATGAATGATCCAATCCTCCAATACCCCGACTTTTCTCTAGATTTTAATCTTACTACAGATGCTAGTAATTTTGCAATCGGAGCAGTTTTATCTCAAGGTAAAATTGGTTCTGACAAGCCAATTGCATATGCATCCCGCACTCTAAATGATTCTGAAATTAACTACAGTACCATAGAGAAGGAACTCTTAAGTATTGTATGGGCAACCAAGTACTTCAGACCATACCTATTTGGCAGAAAATTTCATATTATTACTGATCATAAACCACTTACCTGGCTTATGTCTTTAAAGGAACCCAATTCCCGTCTTGTCCGCTGGCGATTAAAGCTAGAGGAATATGATTATGATATTACCTATAAAAAAGGCAAACTTAACAGCAATGCCGATGCTCTATCCAGAGTACAAATAAATGTTAATAGCATGGACGTGGAGGATGCTTCACTAATAAACCACCCCCCAGTATCCATAGTCAACGACGTAGACACAGTACATAGTAACCAGGAAGATCCCATTTTATTATTACCATATACAAAAAAACCCTTAAACGAGTTTAATATACAATTAAAAATTAATGTTCAATCACTATCTATAGTAAAACCTAAAATAAAATACACGTTTCCGGGTAAAATGAGGTACAGTAGTCAAATAGGAATAAAATCATTCGAAAAAGATATTATTAAACTATTTAAGGATTACATCAGTCCAAACAAACAGATAGGCATATTAATAGAAAAAGATTATCAAGAAGAATTAGTCAGAGTATTGCAAAAAACATTTAAAAATAATTCTTATAATTTAATGTTGTGTGACACATTATTAGAAGATATTCTAGAGGAAAGTAGACAGAAGGAAATAGCTGGAAAACACCACGTTGGTAAAAGCAACCATCGTGGTATTCAAGAAAATTGTAATGCATTAAAACGAAAATATTACTGGCCTAATATGTCAAAAACCGTTTCGGAAATAGTTAATACATGTCTCGTTTGCAATAGTTCTAAATATGAAAGACGACCAGTAAATGCTGAATTACAGTTAGTACCTGTAACAAGTAAACCATTCGAAAAAGTCTTTATGGATATACTTACAGTAGCTAAAGAAAAATACCTAACTATTATAGACAGTTTTTCCAAGTATGCACAAGCTTACTTATTAATTGCGGCAGACGCCATATCCGTAGCTAAAGCTCTACGTATTTATTTCTCGCATCACGGTACCCCTCAATTAATTATATCTGACCAAGGTCAGGAATTTAAGAATAACGTTATACAGGAACTGTTAGATATGTACAAGATAAAAACCCATTTTACAACTATTAGAAACCCCCAGTCTAATGGAACCATAGAGCGTTTCCATTCAACATTATTAGAACATGTGCGTATTCAAACTGCTTTATATCCAAAATCTTCAACATGTGAGTTAGTAATCAATGCAGTCATCGGTTATAACAGCTCTATACATTCTATGACAAATAAAACTCCATTTGAAGTTATATCAGGTCATTTAGACAGTCAGGACCCCTTAGATATAAAATATAATAAAGAATATATTCAACAGTATATTGTCGAACATAAAAAATTAACTGAATCTTTATATAAAAATATACACGACTATAGTTCTGGAAAACATGAAAAACAAATAACTAATATTAATAAAGATAGAGAAGCCTTACCCTCAGTTTCACCAGGTCAAATAATATTCGAAAAAACAGATAGTAGACACAAAACAGAACCCAAGTATAAAAAACAAATTGTTAAAGACGTGGACCCCCTTGCTATAGATTTAGATAAAGGACGCAGGATTGCTAGGAGAAACGTCAGACGGCCCCTAAAACATACAATAAATTTGTTGCAGGACGATCGTAGCGATACTTCTAGCAGCGAAAGCTCAGCAGGAAGTAGTTATAACTCGCCTTACGGATAATCCAGGAATACTACCATTTAAGTTAGGCAAAACTAAACTCGTCGAGTTAGAGCATAGTTTTATACATCCCATAGAATTAGAAGATATAGAGGAATCTATCAAGACTATTATTAATCAAAAAAGTTATATGGATAATTTAGAGAGTAAATTTAAGGAAGTGGAATTTGATAATTATATGTATTATTCTAAACGTCAATATATATCAAACAATATAGACACTATCATATCCATGTACAATGGACTATCAAATAATAGGTTTAAGAGAGGTTTAATTAATGAATTTGGGTCTATTATTAAGAGGATTACGGGAAATTTAGATTATAATGATGCGATTCGTTATGATTCTGCAATTAGTAGTTTAAGCAGTAACCAGAATAATATTATAAGTAAGATTAATAAAAATATATCTATAAATAAACAGGCATTACATGAAATAAATACCACCATCTCAGGATTGATAGAAAATCAATATCATATACAAAATTCTATTAATCAGTTACAAAATATTACTGCAAAATATGACATACATTTTCGAAAGAGATTGCACTTAGATTCTATTTATTTGGACCTAAATAATAATATCGAAGTCATAACTAAAATATTAACAAATTTAGAGAATATATTAGCATTCACAAAATTAGGTATATGCCATCGCGAGATGATATCTATTGTTAATATACAACAAATAATAAAAACACTCGCAGATATATACAGCAGCGATAGATTAGTATCAATTTTATCTAATGAAATCAGGGAATATTACGATATAATCAGTACAGGATCATACTTTAAAGGAAACACTATAGTAGTTGTGCTTAAAATCCCAATACTCCAACCCACGTCATTTACATTGTACAAATTAATCCCTATCCCCACTGTTCACCATACAATCCTTATTCCACATAAACCCTATTTAGCAATGAATGATAATAGATACAGCTACATCGAGAGAGAGTGTAAGCACATAACAGAAATTTATATCTGCAAAGAAGAGGATAAAATAACATCTCAATCACCAGATTGCATCCATCATCTTATAACTCATCAAATCATCTTACCGATATGCCAGTTTGTAAGAATAAAAAACACGAACACAGAAATAATAGAACAATTAGATGAAGCTAATTATATTCTGAGCTTATCGTCAGAGACAAAAATTGAAACAAGATGCAAATCTGATATTTTTAATATATATATTGGCAGCATCCTGGTAAATATACCTACTGGTTGTTCCTTGTTTACACCATTATCGAAGATTTATAATAGAAATAACAAAATCAACGGTTCACCCGTAACATTGATATCACTAGACATGTCTCGCACCAATATCAGTGAATCTGCATCTACTCTCAACTTAAGGGACATATCATTGAGTAAACTACATGAGCTACAACATCTCATACAGAAAGAGGAGCCGTTAATAAAAGAAACCGAGATAAAACCAAGTCATATCGCACTTACCGTTCCAGCATATTTTCTATTCATATTGACAATCATTGGTATAATCATTTATAAGATGAAATGTAAACAACAACGAGATCAACAGACACCTGAAGTAGTGTATAGTGTCCCGCATGCAGCTGTCAGCATTCCTGATACATCTTCCAATACGCCATTTACACTCCAAGTGAGATAATGGCTTCTCTAAGGATGGAGGTGTTATATACGTGTTATATATATAACAATAATTTGTAATTATTTTAATATACAACAGTGTGTAATAACCCTTACAGTAATCTAGGCTGCACCGTCAGCTACAAAATTCTTCCACGTGCAGTTTCGCTGACGATGCAGCACTTTCCTATTAAATTAAAATATATATTTCAACAGAATTGTAAGAACCGGCCTCCATCGCGGAGCTGCCAGTGGTGTAGTATTTAATAAATATTTTTTAGAAAATTATATTTTTTTTAAAAGTCTTCCTCGGCTGTGATATAATTATTTGTTCGCATTGCTTAGCATTATGTTGGGTAGATATTTTACAAACTAATTTTAAGTATCTAATTCTTCTCCCGAATTATGTTAAAATGAACGTAGACTTTGTACAAAGTCGTCTTTGGGGTTATCTCTATCTTATTCTGTTTCTGTTCCAAATGGTTATAATACATACAGTGTTCCGGCACTCCTTCAACACTCTTGAACGCAATCTATTTTAACTGCAAAAAGTTGCTATTTAAATGTTCACAGGCGTATTGGATTTGTTTTCGATCGATCAAAATAACGCAGGTAGCGTTATTTTGTATTCTCTCACTTTTTCTTCGTCTACAAAAATCATTCGGTCTCCTCAAAATTATTAAAAATAATTATTAAAATTCAATATTAAAAGTAAATTTGGGTTTCATTTGAACCTCCGATGTGTTAGCGAAGACATATTATGGTGGCCCATGAAAAGAACAAAATTTTACCAAGATATTCGTAAATCAAAATCTCCTATACATCTACGCAACGTGGCGGACGTGTTCTACTACGTCGTATATCATCACAAAATCATCACCAGGATTGAATTGAAGTCAAGATTATCTGGGAATCGTCTTCATGTAATGAACAGTGAAGCAACAAAAGCATCACAGCATACACAGCGGTCCTGACTAAAAGATAAGTGCCTTCCCTCATTCCTTTACAATTATCCAAATTACTTTCATACAAAATCGCTTCTAAAACATATTTAATCTATCTTATTTTTATAAAATATATTAATTATAAGTTAGTTATATTATTTATAGGTAACTATTGCAAAAATTAGCATAAATATACGTAAATACATAAAATAAAAAGTAAGAAACCACGAACAAAAGTGAGTAATAAAATACTTTTATGCAATTTGCTTAACACATAAATGAGTAATTAGTTGATATATTTTCTTATTTCTCATTTTATATTGTTTCTGTCCACTTATATTAAATCTGTCTCTCTTTGGGGTGTACAGAGACTATTATATAAAGAATAAAAATTGTGTAACCTACAATTCATTCTTGCTATTTGGTGAATTTATTGTGCAAACTAATTGTTGAACTTAAAATACAGCTATAGAACTTGTAATATTGTTATATGTCTACTTATAAATATCGTAAAACTAATAACATTATTCTCAATAAATATTAAAATAGTTGATTTCCAATATTAAGCAAATTAAACGGGTAGGTATCCATATTAAAATTTAGGTCAGTTATTACAATGTTCTAACGTAATTTTGCCGACTAATTCCAGTGACATCTATCGCTGCTCGCGGGGTTGAGCTGTGCATTGAGTGACAGCGCGACGTTAGGCAGCTGCGTGAGCATCGCCGGTTTCGCTGAGCAGGCCAAAGCAAGGAGTGTGAGAATTTTATTTGTTTTCTTTCTTACTTTATTACAATTTTTTGTGGGTAGCTTTGACTGATAACACACTAAAAAAAGTGCTCTTGAGTTTATTATTTATATTCATTAATATATTTATTATTACACATTTTATTTATGCTTAATTTATAGTGATTGTGTGTTTCTACCTACCAGTATATAACATTATCTCCTATTACACATAATGGATGCATTACAAGGCACTTTTTCAACAATGATGGAGCAACTAAATGCAAAGATGGCCGTCTTTCAAAGTGATCTTCAAAAAATCAACACTACACCAAGCACTGTGACATCTTTAGCAGCGGACTTTGCAGTATTCCAGACATTTGTCACCACCACATTTTGCAGCCTGCAACAGCAGTTGGAATTGCTGGGTCGTCAAATGGACCAATTTGAGATGCGTAGCCGTAGAAAAATTCTGTTGATTCACGGAGTACCAGAACATAGAGGAAGCAGCACGTCGCAGGATATTGTAGAAGTTGTAGCAGAAAAGTTGAAAATCTCCAGCTTCTTCGAAGACAATATTAGTAGGTGTAACAGAGTTGGCCATTCTTCTGGTGATAAACCACGTCCAATTGTGGTCAAGTTTAAGGATCTCGCTCTGCGCAACAAGGTTTGGTTTGCCAAAACTGCACTCAAGCATACTGGAATAACAATCTCCGAATTCTTGACTAAAGAAAGACATGAGGCCTTCATAGCTGCTCGACGCCACTTCGGAATCAAGAGGTCTTGGACGCGCGACGGTTATGTGATTGTTGCTGGAGAAGATGGCTCTAAGCATCGAGTTACGACTGTTGCTGAAGTCAACAAAATTATAGGCTGCCAGAATGCTGCTTTCCCTACTGTCGCACCGCAGGCTGGCAGTTTGAGTACGCCCGAGGCGGGGCTCTCTTCAGCACCCAAGGCTTCCGCCGCGGTCATGGCTCGTGCCAAACGTGTTGTTAGGAAGTGAAAAATGTGTCCTTCTGGTGTTAATTTTATATGGTTTTTAATTAATTTTTATTCATCACATTCAGTAATTGTCACCTTTTTAAACATATAACATCTAACATGCATACACTCGTGATATATCTACTGGAAATTGCTACTTCTTATTATGGTCAATTTGCTTATTTATTATTAAATGCGTAGGTAGTTTCAGGGGTTATTTGTCACGGAATTAATAACTGACCACTAATGATGTTTACTGTTTATCGTTTATATGTAACTAACTTCATATTTTATTTACTTTTCACTTCTTTTTTATTTTAATGTTGTAGTTTGTACCGTGATGATATTTAGAGTTGTTTACGTGTGTCAAATTAACGTCGCCGCCTGACAGATGACAGCTGTTTGTCATTTATTGCTCTTTGCAGTTTCCATTTAAACGTAGAACGAGAATATGTTGTTTTTTTTTTTTATACTATTCATAATGGATATTAACTTTTTTATATTGTTTTTTTTTTTTTCTGTAAAATAAGTAATGTAATTTTCTGTTTGTCATATTTTTAATTGAATAGTGATGTTTGAAATGTTTGTATTATGTCCATAGTTTAGATTTTAATATGTGTTCGTCCCATTCTCTTTCATTCCACTGGCGGGTAGAAGCACTTTCTCATTTGATTATAGTTTTATACGAGTATATGTATATATATATATATTATTATTTATTAATATTATTTACTATTATACTTATAATATATAATTGTACACAATCATGTCTAACATGCATAATCTAAGTTTTCACTCTGTCTCTTCTTCCTCTTCAACAGACACTAGTTTCTACAGTATTCCTACTCCCCTAGATGATATTTTACGTTCTGAATTCTCAAATGTAGCCAAAAATTTTAATGTTGTGCATATTAATGCACAGAGTATTCCAGCTCACTTCCCAGACATGTTAGCATCCTTTGATGTTAATGATATCCAAGCAATACTTGTTTCTGAATCCTGGCTAAAGCCTTGTCTCCCTTCCTCTTGTTATCGCTCCCTGGATTTACACTTATACGAAATGATCGTATTGGTAAGGGTGGTGGTGGTGTTGCTATGTATCTCCGTACACAGATTCCCTACAAAATAATTTCCTCTTCCATTAGTACCAATCCCTCTAATGAAGCAGAATATCTCTTCATTGAGTTAATCTTTCCCACTGTAAAATTCTTCTAGGCGTTTTCTACAGTCCTTCTCCTACTATAGACTACTTCCCCTCATTGGAAACCCTTCTGGAAAAGATTACACCATCCTACGTGCATACTATAGTCATGGGTGACTTCAACACCTGTCTCCTAAAAAATGACTATCGTGCCAATTGTCTCCGGTCAGTGACTAAGGCTTGTAACCTCACCATTTTACCTCTTCATGCTACGCACTACTTTCCCAGTTGCAAACCGTCACTACTTGATCTTATCCTTGTTTCATCTCCTGATCACGTCGCGAGTCATGGGCAGCACACTGCAGATGCGTTTACTTTTCACGACCTAATTTTCCTTTCATTTAAAATCCGCCCTCCCAAATACAGACATAAAATTATTATGCAGCGTAATTTTGGCGCTATCGACCTGGATTCCTTGCGTAGAGATATCCTGGCTGCTGATTGGGATTCCGTTTACAATGCGACTTCTGTAGACGAGCAGATTAATTTATTTAATAAAAAAATCACAGAGCTATATGACCTCCATGCTCCTGTTCGACCTGTTCGTGTAAAACACTTGCCTGCGCCTTGGTTAACGAAAGAAATAAAGGATATACAAGCCAAGAAAAACAAGGCTAGGGCAAAGTATAAATCCGATCCTGACAAATACCGTGACCAATATATAAAGGCTAGAAACTACTGTAATAAGGTGTGTAGAGAGGCACAACGTCGCCACATTCATACATCTGTTGAAAATAGTGATCCGGCTAAAGTCTGGAAATTTCTTAAATCTCTAGGGGTTGGTAAAAGTCACAGTTCCAATTCAAATTTTTTTCAATATTGATATAGACCACCTTAATAGGCATTTCTGTTCTTCCGCTGTTTTTGACAACAACACTAAAACAAATACTCTAAATCGCCTTTCTACCATACCAACCCTTAATATTCCATGTTTCAATTTTAGTCCAGTTACCGATTGTGATGTTGAGAAGAGCTTACTATCAATACATTCTGATGCTTTAGGTACTGACGGCATTGGTCGTGCTATGGTCCTTCCTATCCTTGATGTGATCCTTCCAACAATGACCTTCATTTTCAATAACTCATTGTCTTCAAGTGTTTTCCCTTCTATATGGAAAGATGCTGATATTATTCCTCTTCCAAAAAATGTAAACCTTCTTCCTTTTCTGATTACCGACCTATCTCCATACTTCCTTTCAAAAGCCCTTGAAAGAATTGTTCATAATCAACTGAACAAATTCCTTTCCATAAATGACCTCCTAAACCCTTTCCAATCAGGTTTTCGGGCTGGCCATAGTACGACTACCGCTCTACTTAAAATCACCGACGATATTAGATATGGTATGGAAAATTCGCAAGTGACAGTTTTGGCATTCCTAGATTTGAGTAATGCATTTAACACCGTTGATATCGATGTCCTATTGGCTCGCATGCGTTCAATCAACATATCTCCAACGGTAACTGACTGGTTTCATAATTACCTGTATGGGCGTCGGCAGCGCATACGCGTTGAGAATACCCATTCCTCGTGGTGTCAAACTTCTGCCGGCGTACCTCAGGGTGGCGTCTTATCTCCGCTTCTTTTTGCGTTATTTATTAACTCCATTACTATGCAACTTCATTCCTCCTACCACCTTTACGCAGATGACCTCCAGATCTATTCGCAATCTTCATTAGATGATATTGACATTGCCATAGATACGATTACTGCAGATCTAACTGATGCAAAAACTTCGGTTTAACACTGAACGCCTCAAAAACACAGGCTATTATTATTGGTAGTCCACGGTATATTGGTAGAATCAATTGGTGCACCCTACCTCGAATAGTGTTAGATGGTACCTACATTGAATATAGTGATAGTGTTAAATACCTAGGCATTTACTTTGACAGGACATTGTCTTGGTCTGTTCAGATTGCTGAAGTTAGTCGCAAGATTTTTGCTGCCACGGGATCACTCAGGAGGTTAGGCAACCTTTTGCCGGTCAGCACCAAAATTTCGCTTGCGCATACCCTACTCCTTCCTATCCTTGATTACGCTGACATCTGCTATCTGGACCTCACCGAAGACCAATTAAACAAACTTGAGCGTCTTCAAAATTTCTGCATCAGGTTTATATTTGGACTACGCAAATATGACCACGTTTCACATTATCGTTCACAGCTCAAGTGGCTCCCTGTTCGCCTTCGCCGTGACTGGCATATCCTCGCTCTTCTTTACTCCATTCTTTTTAATCCTGTTACTCCTAACTATCTTAAAGAAAGATTTTCATTTCTCGGAGAGGCACAAAACCATGGCTTGCGTAGTGCATCAAATCTCCTCCTTAAAACTCCTTCACATAGTTCCTCGTTCTACAGTAAATCCTTCTCAGTGCATGCTGTTCGCCTTTGGAATTCTATACCTTACTCCATTCGTAGCGCACAATCACTACCCATTTTTAAGAGCTCGGTTAAATCCCATTACCTCTCCACTTAAATCTCCCTGTATTCCTTCTTGCTATGTGTCTTGTTTCTTTGCATATGACATTGTTGTTTTGTACTTGTATTTATATATTTATATATTGTATATATGCTTGCAATTTTTGTAAATTTATATTTTTATATATTATATATATATAGTATATATAATGTGTGTTATTTTCTAATATTTATTGGTATTATTATCCTATCCCTATTATTACCTTTATATATATATTCTTCCATTCTATTCATGCGCCACCTACCACTTTTGTTATATTTTCTCTACCTAAAGGTTGTCTGGACGAGATTGCTTCTAGCGATAAGACCGCCTTTTGTACTTCCATATCTCTTTTCTGTCTAATTCTCTTATGTATTAATTCGATTGGCGCAATAAAGAGTTTATAAATAAATAAATAAATAAAATACCGCCCGAAGCAACCGTGCCCGGACAATATCTGTGTCATGCGGTACGTCAGTGGCCATCTCCTATTCATCCACCGTTTGAGGATGGGACGGACAGCCTCGACGGTCCTCAGGCCGGCTGACGGGCTCATTAGCCTTGCCCGCCATTCGATCCTGAGGATCCGCCGAAAGTCGGACCTCCGCGCTTCGATCTCCTGACCAGCGGGTGCCTCCCCCATGGAACGTCGCTCCGCGCGCCAGTGGTACACTGACGCGTGGAGCTCCGCTACCAAGTCCCACGGAGGAGACCCCGCCAGCAGACCCGCCGCTTCCCCGGATATGGTGCGGTAGCCTCTAATGGCCCTAATGGCCATGGCCCTGTGTGGCCTGTTGAGACAGGCCACATTTTCCCTACCTAGGGCCCCCACCCAGATGGGGGCCCCGTACAGGGCCATGGACCGCACCACGCCGAGGTATAGGCGGCGGGAACCTTCTCCCGGGCCCCTCACATTTGGCAGCAGCCAGCTAAGAGCGCCGGCGGCTGCCATAAGGCGAGGGACCAGGTTCCGAAAGTGAGCGCGGAAGCTCCAACGACTGTCCAGGTCAAGCCCCAAATACCTAATACAGGACTTGACCCCACCCTCTGGCCACTGACGACCAGCTGGGCATCCGAAGGTGGCGCACGCCGAGGCCCATGAAAACACAGGACCTCGGTCTTCTCCAGCGCCACCTGGAGCCCAAGCCTTCTAATTCGACCGACGACCAGCGCCACGCTTGCCGTGGCAAAGCGGTATTTCCAGGTCCCCGCAGCCCTCGGG